GAATTTTTCAAGGCCTGGTCTAGTTGTTTGCTCAACGATGTGTGCCTTCCTCTTTTCTTTACCTTTCATTGGAAATGGTTAGAAAAAAATTGGAAGAAATGTAACTGATTCCTTTTGCATAGGGGTTCATTCATTGTCTGGCCTTTCTACCATTGAAGAATATAGTTTGGCAGGAAGCCTGGTTTAATGGGAAAAGGTTTCAGGGTATAAAGGCATGCTGTGTGAAGTATTGCATTGTAACAGTTCAGTAAAATGGTGAGATACAGGAATCTTCTTCAAATATTTTCCAAATATTTCTGACCTGCTTGTCCCCTGATTTGCAGGCTTGTTGTGTCAAAAGAACTCTGCTGGTCAGAGCCTTCTATTAGTGTAATGAAACAGTTGAAGAGTAAAACAGTGCTGCTTCAGTTGCTGGAGGCACTGCTTCTGGAGAACAGGCCGTAGACAGCTGATGCAGGGCAACATAACTGACAACTGGGAGAGAGGAGAAGGGGAGAAACATTGGATGACGTGAAGAGGAACAAAGCCTTAAGAGATTTTTTTTTACAGTATTCTGTTTCTTTATGTTATGAAGTGAAAGTGCTATCTTCAAAGCTTATTCATATATGGAAAGGTAGCAGCTGAGATATGGAAGACATGAACCAATTGATCTAGGTTACAAGAAGCAGTACAAAAATGGCTGAGAAGTATTTCTGCTATGTGATGAGCTAAACTGAGTCCTTTGCTAAGTTGCTAAGGAAGAGAGAAGGAAAGCTAAATTTTTAATGAAAGTTTCTAAACGCTAGATGTGGGGTCTGGTAAACTGTCTGCATAATGAATCAGAGTAAAGTTTAACCCATGCAAAAATAAAGTTTGCCTGCCTTTTAAGATATATTGCCAACCTGAGGTCAGGTGTGTAGTTTGTCTGTAGGTTATGTTAAGGGCCATGCCAATATATAGTTGAAGTGGCTTTTTATTTGCAAAGAGTAGGGTTTTTTTTTCATGGAACTTTATAATTTAAAACTATAGAGCCTCACACAATTCTGATTAGCGTTCAGTGCTGTTCAGCATTTTTAAGCTGGACAGTTCCCAACAATGCTTTATGTACCAGCAAAGCTAAGTTGAACATTATTATGATCCTTCTAACTTAGGCTTGGCTATTTCTTTAGAACTGACAGAGTAAAGAGCATGGGACCCTACACCAATGGCTCTGATTTAATTTCATTTACTGTTTCTCCCTCTTCCATTAGGTTACTCTCTGAACTTTCTAAGACAGACTAGATTAGTTAGGAGCTCACGGCAGTGTGCTAAGATATAGAGCATTTTGTTGAGGGGCTGTATGTAAAAAAAGGAATGCACGAGAAAAAGTGGGGAGGCTGATTTAATTGTGCAGAGATGAAAAACTGGCCTAGGATACTGATAAAAGTAGAAGATACTGTAATACTAGGGAGGAGATGCATCATTGGGACTTAGCAATAACTGGAAAAAAGAGAGAGAAATCAATGTCTCAGTCCTGGTTTTACACCCTAACTTCTAATAATATTCCTAGTTTCCTAGAATACCAGAAACAGCCAGCTGATCATCTGAATGGCCTCTGAATACTTGCTGTAGAATGTTATTTCCTCACTCGGGTGTTGAAACCCAGTAGCTTGTGCTGGATTAAAATTTATCACATGTGCCTTAGCTAAAACTAAGTACCCATTCAGTCCTGATTTGAACATTATAAAGAGATGAAATATTAATTATTTCCCTCACTAGATTGTGTCAATGATTAATCACCCTCCACCGTTAAAGGTTTGGGCTTTAATTCTGTTTTAATTTGTCTGGTTTTATAATCAGCCATTACATCTTGTTGACTTTTGGAACATTGGACACTATTTGTTTCTGACATTATTTTAAAAAGCAAAAAAAATGCCGCTGAACTAAGTATTAAATGAAAAATGTAATGTGAACTGGATATTATTAATGTTACTATTATTATTATTAAGAGGGCTGTCATATTGTCACTATTAACCCCATGAAAGTACATAGAACACACAATCCACCTAATGTTAATTGAATTGGTTCTTCCCGGCTGTGACCAAAAAAACCCAACCTTTTTCTTATCTAACTATGTACATCTCTGCTCTGTGTAACCACCCGTTCTTATCACCACTATACCTGTCCTTCCTCCCCAATTCGATCTAATTGTTTTAAGTTTACTTGCTGCCTCTTGTCCTAAATTAGGTTGTTATCTATCCAGGATGGAAACTTTATCTTAATATGTGTTTGCAGGGATTGCTACAGTGAAGCCTATATTAGTTTTAGAATCTGGGGGTGCTGTACAAATGAATAGTGACCTCTCCTGTTAAACTTTTTGCCTTCTTTTAAATGCACTCCAAAGCTACAGAAATTTTAAAATGCTAACAGAAATGTATTCGTTTTATAAAGTAGCTCTTTGTAAAATCTATCTTTATTCACATCTGACACATAATACAGAAGTGCTGTTGCCAACCTCACAGAAGCACACTTGTATCTGCTGGGAGGTTAAGAACTGGTAATGCACTGATTTACTATAGTAGCAACTCATTAGGGATGCCCTGATAGAGATTTTGGGGGCGGATACCAATACCCGATATTTAAGGAGGCATATCAGCCCATACCGATACGATTTCTGATACAGCTGCCTCCAGTTGGTAAGTCTGTGTGGTGGGAAGCAGCATGGGGGGACAGATCAATGCCCCCCTGCGATTGGGGAGGGAGGGGGCAGGGGCAGGAGCTGCTCAGCTGGGGTGGGACAGAGCCGCGGCTTCTGGCAGGGGGGCAGGGACAGCTTCTGCTGCTGCTTGCACCCCGGGAGGGCACAAGAGGGGCGTGTGCCCCTGGCTCTGTGCAGGGAGGGGTGGGCAGGCTGCAGCTGGGGCCTGGAGCTGGATCAGCGCGGGGCTCTTCTCACCAGGGACTGTGCTCGGAGCAGGTACTGGTGGCACTGGGAGGGGGCTGCAGCCACCCCAGATTTCGCCACAGCTCCGCACCCAGCGCCACCAATGCCAGCCGCCTAGCACAGCTCCAGCTCTTCCTGGCGCGTGGGTGGAGGTAGGGCATTGACCTGGGGCTACACTGAGCAGCTGGTGGAGGCAGTGCTGGGAGCGGAGGCGGCAAAATTTGGGATGGCTGCAGCCCCTCTCCCAGTGCTGCTGGTGCCTGCTCCAGGCCTAGTTCCCAGTGAGAAGAGCCCTGTGCAACTCCAGCTGCAGCCTGCCCGTCCCACCCCATGCAGATTTGAGGGCACACATCCCTTCCTTCCCCCTGCCATGCCCTTTCAGGGTGCAAGCAGCAGCCAGAACTGCTCCCCCACAAGCCCTGCCCCAGCTGGGCAGCACCTGCCCCTGCCTCCTCCGTCCCTCACCACAGAGGGCATTGATCTGCCTCCCCCCACACCCCTTCCCTCCCTCCTCTCCTTCCACCATACCAGACTTACCCGCTGAAGGCAGCTCTCCATGATGCTGGCTGTACTCTTCGCTCCCTGAGTGCTATGCATTTATCGGCCAAATTATTGGCCCCATCAGGCCGATTTCTGATAGAACCAATCTTCCTTATGTTGGTACTGGTCCGATATCGGACTGATGTATCGGGGGACCTCTACAACTCGTACATTATACAGTCTCATGACTAAGCTGTCCTAGGAGGGCAGTGTTACCGTTGATTCCTCACCTCTTCCCTGGACTTTTATGGAGCACTTACTTTTATGGAGCCTGTCCCACATTCAGCAGCAGGGATCTGCCTTGAATGCAAGGCAGGTTACCATACATTCTGTTTTGCCGCACAATAAATGTATCCCACATGTTAAAGTGGTAGATTGTTGCTAATTTCACCAATGGGTCTCCAGAATTACTGTACTGGCAGAGTTCTGAAATCATCCAGTGTTCTTTGGATTACCTTGAAACCCAGGTAAATTCCCAGTACAAACAACAGGTTCTGCAAACCTATGCATGCCTGTCTGCCTATCTGCCCTTTCCTCCATCTTGGGGGGACCTTGTCTGTTGCTGTTTTGGAAATATCAGAGTTTTAGAGTCTAAATTGCTGTAGCATTGCTCCTTCTCTGGCTTTTTGCTCCCAGTAACTTCATATGATTTATTCTTGGCATCCTCAGCAGCATGACCAAAGCTGGATACAGAGGTAAAAGTCGCTGACAGAACTTGATCATGAGTCGTTTGAGTACTTTAGCTGCTAATCACCCAGTGATTGGCATTTTAAACTGAAACAGATTTTAGGGCAACAAAAGTGGCAGTAGCAATCTGAAAATGGTTTGTGCTGGCTGCCTTCCTACTATTGTGTCTCAAGGGACTAGTCATCTAACTGCTCTTGGAATGGGATGGTTCTGTACAATTAATAACCAAGGACAACCGCAAATTATGCTCTGTATTGATTCTGTTCTCTTGCATTGGATTTTGTTAGGGGCATATTCTTCTCTTGACTTCCTGGCATAATTCCCAACAATACTAATTGGAGTTGGGTGCAGGTAATTTTAAGATTGCTGCTACTATAGCACACATTTTCAATATTTATATGCTTTATGGCTCGAGTACACCATTTAAATCTAGAAACGAGGGAAGAATTACTGATTCAGGTAGAAATGTGTTTAGTAATGAATTGCTATTGATTTCTGACATACAGAAAGATTAAAATTTTAAGAGAATAGTATATTATAGTCAAAGAGGAAGAAAAAGGCCAAGAAAGTGCCACTTCATTTAGTGTGTTCCTTTGATTTGTGCAGTGGTTTATCAGGGAAATGACAGAGGCATGCACTTCTTTAAATCCTTAAGGCTTTTGGGTAGCCCTGGTGAATAATTTTAACAGTCAGGTTTATGTGGAGCCAATTTAGGGTAACTACCTATCTTCTTTTTAATTTTTTTTCTTAGCGTGCCATTGGAGCTTAGTAAAAATAATTTAAAAAAATAGATAGAGCGTTGTTAGTTTTTTTCCCCCTGTTCCGGTAATATTCAATTTTAAGATAATTTTGTTCTTTGTTTCCTTAATAGTCTGATACCTACCTCTGCATGTCATTACGTCTGCCAGTGGATGAGGAAGCCTATGTAGGTGAGTATTAGTTGAATGGAAAATCTGATCAAGCCCTTGTGAAATTACTCAACAGTTTCTTTGACTCATGTAAGCCTAATCTTTTACTGTCAGAGTTTCTAAAATGCATTCATCATGCCTAATGCAGAAACAAACTGGAGAGAGCTACTTAGAGTCGAGATAACAAACTGTAGCTGGAGAGATTCATGAGCAATAGTAGCTAAGGAGCTGCATGCAGATGCCTATAGCAGCCAATACTGAGCAGTCCCATTTGTAAAGTATTGGCTTTCTGTCTGCAGTTGGATACTTAATTCCGCTTCAGTGAACAGACTGTTTATTTACCTGCCAGTACAGGCTGTAAATCCTTTGCACTTACAATCAACAATGGGCACAGTAAGATCTTACCTTTCTGCAAAATATATATATTCTGGCCTGGATGATGTGATGGGTAAATGACAGAATGTACTGCAAGAGTTTCTCGATGTTTAGATCAAAGAAGTAGATGAGTAAAGTAAGCACTATGTGTTCAGTGCCTCTTCTGGACACCTTCAGTTTTGTTCCATTTTACTTGCAAGCATTTAGCTGTTTAGTAAGAAAGAGAAGACTTGCAAATAGTTTATTTAACTGAAGTTGGTTTCACCATGGTATATGGCTGGAAAGAAGAACAGAGGTAAAGGTAGACCATCTGTATTTTATCCACTTCCCATTATCCCTGTATGCCTTGGGGCACGTTCTGAGATGGTGGCTTTTAAATGCGTATAATTATTTACTGCTGGGATATTAAAAAAAATATACATCTGTGTTGACTGGTTTGCAAGAACTGGTAGTTAGATCTGGAATAGAACAGTATGCTTACATTTTTACACTGTACTGTTGCAACAATCATAGCAATAATAAAAATCAAGTAGATTTTTCTTGAGGCTTGAGTAAGTGAAGCAGCTGCTGACTTGAATTATCTTTTGGCTGTGAGATTTGAGCTTGAAAGGATTATGAATGTAGTTCGTTCTTTGATAAACTATTTCTTACCATACAGGTCATGTAGTAAACTCTGCTGTTTCTGTGCAACTGAAAAACTATATACCAAACTTTATTTATGCACAATTTATATTTAGTACTTCAGTGAATTTCAACTGAAGTACTAAATACTTCAGGAGTGAATCATGTAAGGTGTTAGTGGAAAATCCAGAGAAACATCTTCATATCTGGAAAGAGAAGGAAGGGTAGCTTTTAGATAGCTGTGTTTCTCCTGGATGCGAAACTAACTTTTGTTCTACTTGTTCCATAACATATAATTATTACAGCTGGACTTCGGTGAATTAAGAATTCCAAGATTTGCTATTTAGAATGATTCATCAGGGCTTTGTGAAGTGGTGACAGCATAGTGATGTTCCTATTGCCTTGAATTATACTGGTATCTCTGACGCTTGCATTTCTGTGACTCTTGCCTCCACAGACATGGTCTGTTTTCTTTTACTTTAAAATGTCTTCCTCTTTCTTTAATGTTAGTTCTGTCACCTATTATTAGGCTGGAGAGGAGATAGTTTCTTACAACCTCATCCTCACATGTGGTTTCTGGTTATCTCCTAGTACTTTGAGGATATTTCTGTGCATGACAGAAGGACTAATTCAGTCCCTGCTTCTAGAAGAGATGCTGGTCCAGTAGTTACTTGATGTACTGTTTCACAGCTCTTGCTAGAGCAGATGTCCTAGGGACATTGCCCATTAAACAACAGGAGTTCATTCACCAATATATACCTCTATGGGAAAGGCTAAGCACATGTGCATGTGCTTATGAAACACAATAAACATGAAAAATGTCGAACTGTGTGAAATGGTCCGTGGTATAAAATACCAGTATAGCAAATCACAGCTTCCGTTCAGGGGAGAAAGTTCAGTGGGGAAGTTTGTGCTGTAATTGTTTTGTTTTGCTTTTTTTTAACAAGAGAAATAAGATAATTTTTCTTTCTTTTTTTCTATTACTACTATTTTTTCCAGTATGGTAAGTGAACAGTGACTTTGTCATTATTTAAGAATGTACATCTGTACAGATTAAATTAACTTTTACAGTTAGATAGTCCATAAGATGCATATTACAAGTGCATATCATTCTAGTATACATTTGAATGAGCTGCTGACTACATTTTTGAGTACTGGAAGTTACAGAACCTCCAGCTTCACAAGACCTGCACATATAAATCAAGGGCCTTTTAATGTATTTTCTGGATCCTACCATTCCAAGTGCTGTCTGGAAATTTATAGAGATGCAGAAGAACTGTGTGTGGTGTTTTTAAATCATCAGCACTTTTTCCTTATATTAGAAATGAATAGCAAGACATAAATAATCACTTAGTACTGTCTTGTTTATGTATGGCATTCTTGGTTTAGGATCAAAATATCAAATTTGATGTTTGAACCTGATTGGTATTTCAACCAGGACTGCATTGTAATTTAATGTCTATAAGGTGAATTGGGTGAGGGAAACTATTTTAAAATGAAATGGGAACATTTCTATTATATGCATTTTTGAAAAAATACGATTTTTTTTTTTTTTAGTATCCTCAAATGTTGTTTTATGGATAAAGAGCCATGCCAGATAGGGGCTTTGAGTCCCTGAATAGTGCTGGCATTGATACAATCTGCTTTTGACTACTGAACTGTAGTGATATCTAAAGGGTGTCCTACAGACACTCGGAAGAATTGAATCTGACAGCAAACCACTCAGCCAAGAAATTTGACTGTCATCTTCATCCCCTTACTTTCACTCACATGGCTGACCAGTAAATAAATGTGTCTTTTTCTTCCTGACTGATGGTAAGCCCTTATCTTTCACATTGCGCTATACAAATTAGATGGAGCCTATTACATTCAGAAATACAGATGGAACTAATTACATGATTTATTGCTTTTTTTTCATACATGACTCCTGAACACTGCAGGTTTGTTACCATGGTAATGCATGTTTAAACATGCTCATTGTTAGGTAACATTAACTTGACTGAATTAAGTGCATCTGGATGCCTGTGTTAACCCATTAAGTAGTGAAGGTTAATTTATCCTGGTCATTTTTAGCTCATTTCTTATAAATGAATTCAGTTATATGATCTAAGATAATTTTGTTTGAGAAAGGAAAAAAGCTGTCTAAAAAACAAAAATCAGGTCCAGCCATATAAAGTTCTTGTTAAATTAATAAGATAATTACTTAAATAGTTAAATTAGACACAGGATCAACTAGACACCCTTTCAGCACCATCTTGTTCCCCCACAGTTCCTCGTATTAATAATTAAGAGGTCTTTGGGTAGGGATGCATGCCAGAAATTAGATGCAACTGTCACGTTGTGTCTTTCTCTGAAAAATGGTGTTTTCCTGCTCTCATATACCACTTATGTCTAGGACTTTAGCAGTTGAGGTGTGGTTGGAATGCAGTTATGGAGGCCAGCCATCCTTGGATCTCCCTTCTTCATTCCCTTAGTATCTCAGGATAGATGACAAAGTCGCCAAGCCAAAATCCACTTAAAATCCAGTCTAAAGTTCATTGAAGTAAAGAGATGCCTTTCAAATAGGCTATGATTCAGCACCTTGTAAAGTGCATGCATACATCTGTAAATGTTACAAGGCATTACATCATATTATCAGAATGAACTATTTAAATAGAGTGTTATATCTATTTCTGTATATCTTCAGCTCAAAATAGAAAATAATAAATTCCTAATCTTTGGTATAGTTAAACTGGTACCCTCTTCTGCAGCTTGATATATATGAGTGTGACATTCAGTCTATAAATATTCATTCTTGTAAGAATTTAAGGGGAGATTACCAACTAAAATACCAAATAGCTGAAAGTAGCAGCAGGTATTGTGCGTGTCCAGCGTCACTTGCTAGTGTCTACATTTTCATAATCTGATCTTCCTGTTTTTAATATTTTTTTTGGTACCTATTGCTATTTTAGAAGACTGAGAAAACATGGGAATGGAGATAAGAACATGCCTAGCTGGGAAGAGTAGTGGAAATGGGCCTGCAGACATGATGAACATCTTATTTTCCCCTGATATTCTAGTTTAATGTAGTGATCTTAATTATAAAAATATTTTCTAAGAAATATGATTTCAGTAGGCCCAATCAACATTAATATAATAATATTAGTACTATTATTGATGATATATTGACAATCATTCCTTAGAGTTCTAGTTGTGGATTAGAATCATACTGATAGGAGATGGCACAAAAAATTACTGTTCCTTTCTCAAGCACCCTGCAGTCTAAATATAAAAAGAGACATCAGATTTGATGGGGGAATACAAATAAACAAGATAGAAAATGAGTCAGCATGGTAGGTAATGGTCTCAGCACATCAGTGACCTAACCTTTAATTTTACCTTTCATAAAGTCTAGCCTTTTGTATCTCACTTGCATTCCATTTTCTACGGGTCTTGGGTAATGCAATGAAGATCATCATATTTCATATTTATGACCTCCTTCAGAAATTTCATTTCTTGCTTAAAGTGGCAACAGCAGCTTAAAACACTTAGAAACCAAGTTAAAGAGTCCACCTAAATGACACATTGTCTGTCCTGTCCAAGAGTTGATCATAATTTTGCTATTAAGCTATAGCGAGAAAAATGTCGAAACAAAAGGTCTTTCTTTAGTGCAGAATTATTTTATGGTAATGGACTAAGCAGAATTTGTGGGCGGAAAATCATGTTGTGTGCTATTTTTTGAGCTGTTGTCATGTTTGCAAACAGAATACGGTAAGAGTAAAATTAAGAACTCTGGATTAACTTTTTAAAAGAACATTATTATTTATTAGTTATAACATTCAGTATTTTTATTGTGACATCCCTTCGCTTTAAAACCATAGTTTCATAGAAATTAAGGCTGGAAAGCACTTGATAGGCTGTGTAGGGTTATCTCCTGTATGCTGTAACTCATTCAGTTCACACAAATACCTTATATCAGACTTTAGTTCAATCAAGTATTTAACTCAGTCCTCAAGAAAAAAAAGTGCATCCCAGATAGCAAAAAG